AGACCCAACCCAACGCCCCCCCCTAGACACAGCTCAAAGCCACCACCTAGACGCAGCTCAACGCCATCACCTAGATACAGCTCAACACCACACCTACACACAGCTCAATGCTACCACATAGACACAGCTCAACACTACCACCTTGACACAGCTCAACACCACACCTAGACACAGCTCAATGCCACACCTAGACACAGCTCAACGCCACCACCTAGACACCGCTCCATGCCACCACCTAGACACTCAACGCCACCACCTAGACACAGCTCAATGCCACCACCTAGACACAGCTCAACACCACCACCTAGACACAGCTCAACGCCACCACCTAGACATAGCTCAACGCCACCACCTAGACACAGCTCAAAGCCACCACCTAGACACAGCTCAACACCACACCTACACACAGCTCAACGCCACCACCTAGACACAGCTCAACGCCACACCCACACACAACTCCACACCACACCTAGACACAGCTGACATTCCAACCACACCTCAGAATCTCAGTTTCCCTGAATTTGCCAAATATTCTTACTCACTCCACATCATGCTTCCTGTGCTTACTTCACTTTTTGAACAAAATCAACCAACAAGGTAAGAACAATCTTGTGTATTAAATTAACTCTCTGGGTAGGGTGCTTTTTATCCACTTCTGTTACTTCCCACATTTGTCACGGCTTTCCCTTCTAGTCCCAATTCTAGTCCCTCCACTTCCCGAAGACAGCTTGGACGTCTCAGTTCTCAACTGTACTTCGCTATTCCATGCTGCAAGTTCAAACTTACCCTGCCAGCGGCCACCTGATAGCCCAACCAAGCCCCTCCTTGCCTCCCAGCTTTTTCAACCAGCGTCTTCATTAACGAGAACTCCCTGACAGGCCGACGGCCCACGATTGAGCCAAAACAAGCCTCACCAACCTCCCTGTACAGGCTTTCCTTCACTTCCCTGGCCATGTATGATGTTTGGAAGAGTCTCAGTGGTTGATGTTCATCTTCAAAGAGATTCCAAAGTACTTGAAACCTAAAAACTCTGTTGTTGGAATCCTTGTTACCACTTCCAGCCCAGGATACCAAGCCTTTGTTTAAAAACCTCCAATGACAGGAAATCTTGTCATCTCAGAGAGCCTTTTCTATCTCTGCTCATCTCACTTAAAGACTTTCACTTCTATTAAGTTCTACCTATCTTGCAATGCATTGCTATTATTTATTTACAGTTTCTCTCCCTTTACCTCCACTCTCCCACCAGATTTAGATTATAAACTCCTGAAGAGCAAAGTTCATGTCCTAGGCATTTCTCGATACTCACAGAGTAAGTAATAAATAAAGATCTGTTCAAGAAACAAATGAAATAAATAACAAAGAAAAAAGTCCTTCTAACTGCTAATACTAAACGCTCGCTTGCTCCCTCCCTCCCTCCCTCCCTCCCTCTCTCTCTCTCTTTCTCTCTCTACTATTCAGAAAAGCCTATTACGTCTTCCCCAGGCAGAATTTTAAATACTTAATCTTTTAAGACATCCCAAATCTATTTTCTCAAAGCTAAACATTCCTGTACCTTAAACTATAGCCGCAGAACACAATTTCGTGCTTGCCTCTCTCTTCTTCCTTCCTGCCTCAGCCTCCAGTAGCTGGGGATGACAGGTGTGCCCCGCCCAGTCATTCTGTGCTCTTTGATCACTCCTCTCTGAATTTCCGTGGTCCCAGGGTTTCTGCACGACTTCCCAGTCTTCCTGAGCTCTCCCACCAGCTCTATTTCTCCACAAGTCTTTCCTGTCTACAATCACGGATGAAATCCTCACTGGTCATTTTGTCCATTTATACACGGTACAGTAATGAGCGCCTTATAAAGCCTATACTATTTAAACTTCGTTTACAGGAAAACAGTCCCAAAACATCAGTCCTGGGGGGAGGAAGAAGAAACCCTCAGCTCTTGAGTGAGGAGAGCAAACACAGCTTAAATCTCTGATAGTCTCTGCAGGCCAAAGGTTGAGGAGGACGCGAAGCCAGTGCCTTCTGACCTGCTGCAATACACAGCTAGACTGCGGCCGGCATTTCACCACACAGAGGGCACCCTTCAATCTGTCCTGGACAAAAATGGATACAGACAGAGAAAAGGAAGGACAGACTGAGGACATTCTACCGAGGCCCCGGAGGCTCAGAGAGCCTAGTATTGTATGAAGTAATTATACTGAAGTATTAATCAGGAATCAGCAGAATGGCTCCAGAACAGGAGCGGGATCAAGGGGAGGTTTCCAAGAGCCCTAACGAGCCCTAGGAGGGCAATATATAGAGACGACTGGAGTTACACGTTGGAGGCCTGGGTTTACACTCTGGCTCTACTGTCACAGAGGTCCTGTCACTGCGAGCTGCTATCTGACATTTCCCACCATGCAGTAGGAAATGGCTAGGCTCACCCAGGGCAAGTGACACCAAAGGAGGGAAAGACAATGAGTCGTGCCTCTTCTAGGGCACAATGTAAGAGAGCAGAGAGAAGGGAAAGAAAACACTTTTTTGGTTTTTTTTGGAGAGGTTTTCGCTATAGGGTGCGTGTGCTCGCCAGACAGCAAGAAATCACCCCCCAGGGGGGATGGTCATGCCACAACCCCTTCTCCTCCATT